TGCATGTGTACCATCAGCATGACTCTGTAAAGTGTAATGGTACTAAAAAGGTCTGCATGCAGTTTATACCTGTCACCCAGCGATTTTTAGTGAATTTTCTCTACATTAACACAATTTAGAGTTCTAGAACATAACAGCAGTGATGATCAAAGGTTCAAATAGATGATTCTTAAGTTTGTTGTTCCCCTTTTGTGTTGGTGAACTTGTTGTAGGGGTTATTCTGGCAGATTATGGCTCTAGTTGGAGGGAACATCGTCGCTTTGCTCTGATGACTTTGAGGAACTTTGGTCTGGGGAAGAACTCGATGGAGGACAGGATTCATGAAGAGATTAAATACACTGTCAGTACCCTGGAAAAGAGCATTGGTATGTCATTTAACATAGAATTGTTCATTGTGCTGTTGTTTCTGTTGTTCTTGTGTATTCCTTTGGTTTTTATAACTTACATTACACCTCCCACAGGTAAAACCATGAGTCCTCAAGTTATGTTTCACAATGCAGCGTCCAACATCATCTGCCAGGTCCTGTTCGCTAGACGCTACGAGTATGACAACGCGCTAATCAAAGTGATTGTTAGGTGCTTCACTGAGAATTCCAAGATAGCCAATGGCCCGTGGGCTATGGTGAGTAAAACAGCAACAAAATGATAAAATAAAAGAAATGACTTAATTATTGGAAATACAGCGTCCTGTAACCATCTTCTGTTACAACTGAAGCATAGAGGAAAATAAACGATTGTCCTTCTTTGCAGCTGTATGACTCTTTTCCTTTAATTCGTTACCTACCACTGCCCTTCATGAAAGCCTTCAAGAATGCAGAGGTAACATTTAAAATCCCTTTAATTACATTGAAATAATCTGTGTATTTCATCAATATTAAGAAAAAGTCAATGCTAATACAGTCATAGTTACTTGTGTTTTTTTAGACAGTTGAAAATCTTGTAAATGAGTTTATAAGAGAGCACAAGAAGACCCGAGTTCCCGGAGAGCCACGGGACTTTGTTGACTGCTATCTGGATGAACTGGAGAAGGTGTGTGTGAAATGAGGAGTTTACTATCCCAGATATTATAATAAAGCAATTGATTACATTTAAAATAACTAGAAAAAAATAGATTTTCCATTTAGGAGACTACACATATGGCTGTGACCTTTTCACCCTGTAACAACAAAGTTGAATTTCCTTATTTGCATAAATCATTCCTCTGACTCAGAGAGGCGATGATGGGTCTTCATTTTCAGAAGACCGGATCTGTCTGTACGCTTTAGACCTTCACTTTGCTGGCACTGACACTACATCCAACACCCTACTTACTGGATTTCTTTACCTTATGAACTATCCGCATGTACAAGGTAAACCTGCATATTTTCTTCTTTTCTTTCAGTTCAACTGATGTTTGTCCATTTAAAAGTGGTTGC